CACACACACACACACACACACACACACACACACACATACACACACACACACACACACACACACACACACGCGCGCGCGCGCGCGCGCACAAGTAGACTCACCGTTAGGAGCCACCCCTAGATCGAGGCTGGACCTGGTGTTGAAGATAAGCGCGTGCACCACACGGCTGTAGGCCACACTCATCACTATGACCGGGAGGACGAGGAGGGTCAGATCTAGCAGAACCGTGTATGCCTAGGGAGAGAAGGAGACATTCAAAAGGAGTAGAAGAACGAGGAGGAAGAGAAGGGGAGAGGAAGAGAAGGAAGAGGAGGGGAGGAAGAGGAAGAAGAGAATGAGGGATGAAGAGGAGGAAGAGGAGGAAGAGAAGGAGAGGAGGAAGAGGAGGAAGAGGAGGAAGAGGAGGAAGAGGAGAAAGACGATGAGAAGTAGTGGAGGAAGAGAAGGACGGGAGGAAGGGCAGGAAGAGGAGGAAGAGGAGAAGTGACATAAAGAGTCGAGATAGGGATTGAGAGGTGGCAGAATCATGTGGGGGGGGGGGGAGGAACAATTAGTGATGATTGTGATAATAGTTAGTAAAGAGGAAGGTATAGGCCTAAAGAAACATTCGGTAGTGGTGAGGAACAGAAGAAGGGGGGAGGAGGACGACGAGTGGAAGAGGACGAGCAGGAGGAGGGGGAAGAGGACGACGAAGAGGAAAACAAGAAAAACAGAAAGGGAAGGGGAGATCAGAGAAAGAAAGAAAAAAAGAAAGAAAGAAAGAAAGAATGAAAGAATGAAAGAAAGAAAGAAAGAAAGAAAGAAAGAAAGAAGAAAGAAACAAAGAAACAAAGAAACAAAGAAAGAAAGAAAGAAAGAAAGGAGGGAGATGTACAGAAACAAGCAAACTAACACAAAAAAAAGAAAAAAAAAGAATAAAGCAAGAGATACACTGAAGGAAACTTCGAACAACAGAAAGTTCTAAACCAGAGGCTGTTATAATCAGAGTTTCCGATCACCTTTATGATGAAACCATGTGTATGTCATGCTCTGACAGACTGCATTCACGGTAATCTTGCACAATTCATTTGCACCAATCTAATTCCGTCGTTTAATGTATTGCACCGGCCTTCCCGATGGGCCTTACGTCAGCACGCGACAGCGTGCTAAATAAAATTGTCACAGAGAAGGTAATCACATGTTTATGTGGCGTTTAATAGTACGAGGAAATTGAGTTTTTTTGTGAGCTCAATTTGGTTGACCGTAGACGCATGCCAGGCTCACGCTTAGAATGTTGTTGGTGACGAGGTAGACGCTAGCATATTCTGTGACCTGCAGGGATGATGCAACTAGAGAAACTAAGTGTGTTTTATTGTTTTTACATTTCATTATTAAATCATGCAAAGATACCAACACGTACAAGTGGGGTTTGTTAAATGGAAGGATTGTCCATTTTTATGCCGAGTTCCTGGTTTTTGGGATGACTTATTTCTTTGGGCAGGTTTTGAGATAGACAGACAGGCAGACAGAGAGACAGACAGACAGACAGACAGACAGACAGACAGACAGACAGACAGACAGACAGACAGACAGACAGACAGACAGACAGACAGACAGACAGACAGACAGACTGATAGATAGATAGATAGATAGATAGATAGATAGATAGATAGATAGATAGATAGATAGATAGATAGATAGAAAGAAGAAACTGAAAACCAGCCGTCAAGAAAAGCGCTCTTAAAGAAAACCAGCCGAAATGTAATTTATAATCGGCGCCATCTATGTTTGGCGGATAAATACTACATTATCCTCGTCACTCAAATTTAGTGGAACTAGAGACTAAATCGAACAACCAAAGTAACTTTTTTTTTGTTGGCTCTAGGTCTTCCTTTCCCCCCACACGGGCGAATATTTATATACTTCTTTCTCAGTCCCGGCTTGTTTCCTTTGGAACCCCCCCCCCGCCTATTTCTTTTTTTCTTAAAAAACAGAACTTCAAACCAATTTGGGGGGGGGGGGGTTCAGAGGAGGGGGAGGTTCGGGGCAGGCGAAGGAGGCGTGCCAGGGAAAGAGCGGGGGGGGGGGTAGAGAGATGGAGCTGGGTAGTGTGGGGGTATAGCACGGAGAAGAGAGCAAGGCAGAGAGAAAGGGCCAGGTAGTGTGTGTGTGTGTGTGTGTGTGTGTGTGTGTGTGTGTGTGTGTGTGTGTGTGTGTGTGTGTGTGTGTGTGTCTGTGTGTCTGTGTGTGTGTGTGTTGGGAGGGGGGCAGGGAAAAGAGGCTGGGACAGCGAGAAGAGGCTGAATAGTGGAGGAGGGGTGGGGGAGGAGCAGGAAGAAGAGGGCAGGGTAGATGTAGGGCAGGGTAGGTGTTAATTGAGAACATTTGGGGGAATCTGTACGGTAGTTTCTTTTGTCTTGGATCTCCAGTTGCAGGCGGGTTCTCTGACGTTATACTAGCCTATCTATCTATCTTATACTACGGCATATGGAGTTAAAAATGCTGGTGGTGTTGACGATGATAGCACGGAGTGCTCATGTTCAAATCCTCAACACGGCGTTCCGGGAAACTAGCAATCTTTGACAATACTGTCAAACTTGCTCTATCGACCACCTACCCAAGACCATCACCTGTACAAACAACAACTTTCCACTTCACTACTAGCGTTTTTATACATTCTAATGACAATGTCCAAAACATACATCAGGCTACATCAGAATTACAAAGTTCTATCTGAAATTTTTGGCTGTTTTGAGTCACAAAGACCATCAGATCAGAAACCAAATGTTTTAGATCTATCTGCTCTATCAAAATCGAAAGATTAAACGGCATTTTTATCAAGACATTCAAAAATTTGCATTCGAAAAAGTTTGACATGATGTGAAACTCAAAACCTTTGACGACAAAAGGCTCAAAAGTAGGTACTGAGCAGATACAACTTTGTAATTCTGAGGTATTGACCTGTGTCTAAGACAAGAACATATCTCCTCGACAATGGGTGGCGGTCTTGAACAGTTTCAGCGGTATTACTCACCTGTTCTATGCGCTGGTTGGGCCAGATCTCTCTACACATGTGAGCACCTCCGGCCAGGGCGATATGTTTCTGGAACACGGCGGTGGGCGTGGTCAGGGCAGCTGCCAACACCCAGCACACGGCTATACATCTGGGGATGTGGAGAGGACTCTGTTGTGAATTAAACATGAATTTTTGTTTTGCTATTTTATTGGTCTTTACCTCTCTCTCTCTCTCTCT